CAAACGCGGGGGTTTACAGAGTGGATTACCTAATACACGCGAGTGTGATTCTTGACTATGCTCGATAAAGGTTGATGTTGAGTGCTTCTTGCTCGACTTTTCGTGCCAACGAGTTGCTAACAAGCTGGCTGCAAAGCTCGTGTGAGCTGGTGCACTGCGAGCTTACCCCAGTAGGTCATTACTCTGCATGACTGCTTGGCCACGGGAGTTAATAAAACGAAGTAGTTTTAGTAAAACAACGCAAGTTTTAGATCACCCAATGACAGAACGGTGGGGAAGCTTACTTTTACGTCGAGTGCAACTTCAGTTTAGGTTAAACTTTGGATGGTTTTAGGAGCTAAAACAACGGGCAAAATATGTGAAAAGCACAATACCAGGTAGAACCGATTTTTACAGCCTGGTACTAGTACTAACATTAGTACTATTAATACTCCGGAGTACTAGTAGTACTGCAGCACGACAACACGAGCGTTGTCCATTCCCTTTGTATACTGTCATCCAACCGCAACTGGATACCACCGAATGGGATACCACATATACTTTTTTATAACGTTAGCAGCCTCTGCCTTCCTGTGTAACTGGATGCTGTGATTGCGAGCAATGCGTTTTGCAGCTGTGGTGTGACGTACTAACTAGTAGTAGCACTGAACTACGGTACACTGTACTTCAAGAAGTACTGCGTAGTAGTACAGTATACTAGTACTACACTAGTACTACAGTACATACTAGCAGTGGACCACAATAATATACCTCCAACTCGCACTTTTTTGTGCTAAGAAACGCTTGTAATTGCCTCCTAAGACATCGCGATTGTGAAGTACGATCGATTTGTGAACTCGTCGTGTTGGCTGACCACCCCAAGACTCCAGTGATGCAACGATTGAAAGCTTTGATGAAGTGCGTTGACGTCTCAGTACTAAACTTTTGGAACACTAATCTAAGTGCAAGTGGTTCATAAAACTCGTACTTGTGCAAAATGAAGGGAATTGCCTCAAATCCATTCATTTTGAGTAGAGGCAGGACGAATGTAGGTGTAAATGTACTACTTAGGGAGATTAAGTTTGGCAATGCTGTTTAAACACATTGAAGTATTCAACGAACGAATTTTGCTTTGACAAATTTCCATTTTTCCTCATGCCATTGCACCGTGAAGACGAGGCATTTATGGCCTCGTCATGGTTCGCTACCAAAGGATGGCCAACGAAAAGAAGCGGAAGAAGGTAGAAGCTCAACGACGCTACTACCGCATGAATCGAGCTGCAATGGACGCCTTCCGCATCATGCGTTTTCCGTACAGTACGTAGGTGTACCGGTAAGTAATTACACTGTACTCCGGAGTACTGTAGTTGACTTGTGTACTTCAGTTCCAAAATTGTTGTCCAACTCAAAAAGTTGGCGTACTCCTCCCATCATTTAAATTTGGAATCCTGCAAATATCTATATTGTGTGCTTTTGTCAATGTATAATGTTAAAAGAGTGGCTCTGGCTATGCCACTGAATGTACGATGGGTGTATGAGTGGTAAATCCCCGCATGACCATAATCGGCAAAAGCTGCAATACAATAGAAGCCTGGGGCCCCGTGCATCACAATGCTATGTACTCGACGTCATCAGTTATACTAGCGATCGACCAAATATCACAAACCCTCATACATGGAGAAGAATGTGCACTGTGGCCCTTACTCCGTCAAAGAATTCAAGAAATTCGACTTTTCTCAATTATAATATGCAACCTCACCAAAATGGGCGATTTGTCACTTACTAAGTACCAAGCCACAGAAGTCAATAGCTACAGATTTGTCCACCCAGGAATAAAACGAACTGAAAAAGTACTATATAAGGCAATGTTTGGACAAATAACATTCGGTCACAACTTGTAAAAATTCTCACGAACGTGCATTTTCTCAGCATCATCCCAAGTGGTAACTCATGGCGTATTTCAGGGGACTGTACTTGTTGGCCTTCGTAAGGACCGGTTTTATAGTGTTCGAATGAGCGCGGAACATCGCGGCATTTAAGCAACGATGCAAAGTACATAGGCTTACTCATGCGACGCATCGTTCAGCTTGGATTAGATGTTGCATCGCACCTAATTGCTCGGAGATTGCGCGACGTGTTGTACGATTGGCTTGTGGAATTGCAAGGAGTTTGGCCTCTATTTGGGCTGGAGTGAAGGCCTTCTTTCGGCCAACTCGACCCTTCTTCTTGCTGGCGACATTCACCTTCATGACGCCTGTGAGCGCTCCGTTTGCCTTGGCTTGCGCATGAATCCGCCTGATCGTTCTGACGTTGCAGTTCTACTTGGCTGCTAGGTCTTCGCCGAAGCCTTTTGCCGGTCGTGGCATGAAACTACTGACGCTTTTAAGGAGGATCTCATCGACGATGGCCTCGCGCTCCTCGCTTGTCAGGTCACGTCTTCCCGTCCCCAATGCGGAATGAATGTATTTGAATGTTGGTTTTATATAGAATGTTGTATTGAAGTTTTGATGCACGAAAACTTTGACTTTTCTCCAAATATTTCGTCATTCAGGCACATGACGCGATAGCTCTTGGCGCGCTCGTTGCAATTGACCAATCATTGTACGTGAAATCGAAATTGGGAAGGTGACAACAGCATTTCAAACTTACCTTATATTATTATACAGGGACATGTACACCGTTCCCAAACTCGGACAACAATTTTGGAACGGAGTACCATAGTATTTTGGAGTCTGGATTTTTCACTTGAATCCAACCAAAAAAAGTGGTGTAATGACATGTGGCATGTGTCTTTCCAATCATGTGTTTATGAAACGGTGCCTCCTGAGAGAATTATGGCCAATGAGGAGGAAGCCTATTCGACTTCAAATCATATGGGTATTGTTTACAGTACAGTTACGGCGAAGTTCAAGTTTCTCTAATTTCTATTAATAGTACGAGTATCTAGTAGTATTATTAGTACGAGTAACGTTATCTAGTAAGTGGGACATGTAAATACTTCCTCCGTTCCGTTTTACTTGCATGACTTTTACCATCAAGAATTTGTATAGAGGTTTGTATACAAAACCAAGACATTTCGACGTGTTCAATATATTCTTATTCAATATCCATCATTTACGACGAACACGTGCATGACATGTTACACTACTACAGTGGCTTCAAGAAGTTCGACCAGCTCATCAATTCTCTGAAGGGCTTCCGATCCAGAGACACGAAGACCAGCACCCATAAGTTCCACAATATCATCGACACGTTGCTCGTCCTCTATACGTCTCTCCATGGAGTCAATGGCCAACAAAACCTCTTCGTCACATGACGGGCGCAATTCCCGAACCCCCGCTTTCATCTGCACGTCCTTCTTGAGGTGGGGGATCTTGTAAATGTTGTCGCCATTCATTTTCAAGGATTCCTCCATGACCTTCTGCAAAGTCATGAATGTTTTGTCCAAAATGCGCCAGTTGAGGTCCTTGAACGCATCTTCAACGCACTTGATGAGGTCGTCGATGGTTCTAGCAGCGGTTTGGTGCTGCAAGCTCTGAATTGCGTTGAAAAATCCCAGGTCGAGGACATTAAAGTCCGGGCTCTGTGCCGGTTGCGCCTTGAGCTGAATGTCCCAACCGTTCTTCTTCCCTGCTGCCATGACTTCAGCTTCGTTTACCGCTACATATGGCCTCGCATTGTCTTGCTGCACAAAGATCGTGGCGCTACGACGCCCAGGCCATTTGCTTTGAATTGATGGGATGACCTTGTCGACGAGGAATCGTCGATACACAGCCTTTGTCACTGTCATTGGTACGGTCACAGGCGTGCCTCGCTCACGGTTCTTGCTTCGACGCTTGGCCAGTTGGGTCTCCACGAAAGGCCAGAGACCAACTTTGCCGTCCCACATACAGTTGCGCTTGGTATCGTGTCTTGGTCGGGCCACTGCGCACAGAAACATCACTTTCGTGATGTGGCGTTTTGATTGAGCCTTTCGTTGAGGAACCGGTTCATCGTGCCAACGATAGAAACGGCGGTTTACTTGGGTAATGTAAAACCATTTCTCGTCGATGTGCACGAAGTCCAACATGTCGTGCCACCGGTGGGAGCCACTGAGGCCAGCTCAAACGAAGGACCTCGCATAGTCGCACCGATTGACTCGATGCTCCGCTGTCAGCATCGGTTTCAAACGACTCGTACGACGCTTGATCGTCTTCGATTGGATCAAACGCCACAGGCATGTCTTCGGAATACCAGTGGCAGCTGACATGCCCCGGAAGTTGCCGCGGAGACTTGGTGGGACCGACGTGACCAAATCCCGAACATCATTGTTCTCGTACATGCGGCGCCGTTCGCAGTTACCCTTCTTGGGTGACTCCGCCTTGGCACATCCCCCCTCGGCTTGGGTTCGTAAGCCACGTTGCCATATTCTGGATATCGTTGATTGATTTATGTTGAAGGAGAGCATCAAGTGTTTCGTCTCTCCATGGCCAACTCTTCCGTTCCTCTTAAGTTGAAGTAGCCGATAGTAAACCGCCGACCGTTGGTCGTCGGTGAGTTCTCGACCGGTCGTGGGACTTGGCATACTGTATCGTCCGTAGCTTGGCTTCCAGAAATGTTTTCGGGGTTCTGAGGGGTGGTAGCAGTATCTGCGTCTTAAGACGAAGCGTTTGCGCGTGATTTGAAGCACAACGGATGCGAGATGCGAAAGTTACGAGGGTTTTAAGGTTTTCTTGATTGGTAGCCGAGCTTAGCCGGCCTCTGCCTCTGGCGTTATAGCGAATTAAATTGTACTGAAAATATCTGCTTCTTGCGCATATCTCCGGCTATCATTTGCGCCGTTTCGAGCTATGTAACGCTCTCTATAGCCCAAAATATGCACTCTCGCGTAATGTCATGCAAGTAAAACGGAACGGAGGAAGTAGATGTGAAGAGGCCGGTACTGAATATGATGTGTTGTGGTATAATACATGTTACGTTGCTAATAAAAGTATAAGTCCACTGGCGCAGTGGTTTAGATACCTCACTTTGAACGTGGAGGTTTCGGGTTCAAATCCGATGCACCACCTCGCTTTTTTCTTCATTTCCAATGTGCCCCTTGAACAACAACGATGTATCGGTACTACTCAATACTAACGTTAGTACAGTTCCAGTACAACGCAAATGAATCGACACTGAGTTCGTAGAGTACTGTACTACGCACTAGTAGGCGATATTGACATTGATACAGTACTTGGAAGTATTACGCTGTAAAGTTAACATCGCTCAGCGGGCACTTAATGGCCTCACGTATGTATTAGGAGACCTACATGTTTCACTAACAGAGTTTAAGGTTTGTATCAAACACTGAACGAGATTATGCATGGTTCTCAGCTCGCATGAGTTGAAGGAGTTCGATAGGTAAAGCGTTTGTAGTTCAAAGCCTTGACGGTCGCCCGTTTCACGGATAATTAGGCGGTGGTCTCTGTACTTTACTGCACCGATACTATGTAGTCCATCCATTGTTTTCATCGACGATGCCGGTATGGTATCATGTATACTTTAACTTTTGTTATGTTAACTGTAGTGACTGGTATTTCTACTTTAGTTATAGTCTACGTAGAATTGAACAATTTACCATATTCTGAACGAAAAGTATGTTCAAAAGAGGTAGAGTACGTAGCAGTTCATAGTGAAGGGGGGACAGGTAATATAGGGTGGTTAGCGTGGCGAATATTGGACACTAGCGTTAACGTTTAGCTAGGGGCCGCTATAATGTATCTACACTACTTGTAGTTGGCAATTGATTGAATAGTTGATGATGTCTGAATAAAACATGCAGTCTCCCCCTTGCACTGTTATAAAGCCCTTTCCCAACAACTATTTTACATGCAACACTGTATTACGTGTGGCTGCTGTTGGTTACATAGTATAATATGTAGAATATTCCACAGATCCCCCCGCATCAAGTTGAATCCTAGCCTGCCCGACACCACTGCAAGCACTGTACACTTAACACGGATGTTTGGGGGGCGTTTTTACGTAAAACTAGTAGCTGCGAATACGCCGGAGAAGTAGCAACAACCAACTGGACTCTACAGATGATGTTTTGCTGGATTGGATGCAACCACTACTTATTCCTCGATCATTTACGCAGCGACTCATAGTACTTTAATTCAGTGTTGTATTCAGATGAGTTGAGTGCAGTAGTTCACAATACACAAAACAGCAGCAGTCACAAGTAATGTGTGGAATGCAAAGCAGGGCTTTAACGTTATGACAGGCAACAATCAGCTAACGTTACGACTGTAGTATCCCCCAAATCAATTTCAAAACTAGAAGTTACTACTACGTACTTCGAAGTAGTACATAATTGCGCCCCCTACCGTTCGTGCCTAAAAATTCCCAACTTTCGACACCCGCATATTAACCCCCTTTCGCTAAGTACAGCATCATTCCGAAAGGATTTACATGAAATGGCCGCGCCAATAGAAAACGTTATCGAGCTGTTAAGTTAGCCATAGTTTGCGCGGAAAGTGTTGAATTCTAGATTACGAAGCATACACCAGAGATCTACCAACGTTATCGGTGATACGGGTGGTCATCAAGGCTCTAAGCTTGAAATCGCTAAAACTATTTGACCATTCGTCAGGGTGATCTATTTCAAATCAGGCACCATACAGTAGTTTCAAACGATCTCGTTCGAGGTTTGATGCATACTAGTACACTACTATTAAAGCACTCAGGCCATACTCTGCATCCAGTCTTGCTTGGTGTTGTTTTGTACTCAGTGTGTATTTATTTACATGATTCGTTGCATGCCAATGACCACGACAGGACTGCGAGGACTTGGTTAGCTGTACTTGTACCAGGGTTGTAGGATGAAAAGGAATATATACGTGAGAAAGAAAAAGTGACGTGTTGCGTGGGATTTGAACCCGGTATACCCACATTACAAGTGAAGTCTTGTATCGACTGCACCACAGGATTGAATGATATTGATTCGATACATGTACCATTGGGTCACGATACTGATTGGTAGAAAACCACCATTTTAACCAATACAATTAAACCAAAATCATTATTTTCCTGTTTTCAGCCTATTAGCACAGTCCAGTGTCGCATGTATACATCTCAAAAAAATTTGCGCATATCTAGTGTCGCATGTATACATCTCAAAAAAATTTGCGCATATCTTGCGTGACATACAAGTTGTCGCACGACTACACAGTAGTATTACTTTTTTCGTTCGGACCAGTGTTGCCTGCTCTTATTGGGAATTTTTGTCGCACAGCAAAGTTGAATTTGTCGCACAGCTTAGTTGTTATTAGTGTCTCAGTTTATGCCAGTAACTCGAACTTTTACGAAGCAAATGTGTTTTGACTGAAATTCTCGGACCTGATCAAATAGATGGCGGTATTTTTTGCATGCTGCAAATACCAATTTACACACTACCGTACCGTATTTGACGATGTGACATGGTCAAATTGTAAATATTGCTGGTATACAGTAACACAGCCATCTACTGGTTTTGAGACTTATTTATGGCCTCGTCATGGTTCGCTAATATTTACTACTAGTATGTAGTATAATGTAACAGTACAGTACTCGGGGTAAGTACGAATTTCCGGATCCAGCCAATCGAATCTCGCACTAACGTTATTAATACCAAAACCTCGCTGTGACATTTGATTAGATACTATGAAATTTCCTAGAATATTCTTCCTGTGTTCCATGCCTTTCTGCAGATTATTTGTTAGCCAATCAAATCATGCGGCGAGGTTGTAGCAAGGTTCAGTAAATTCACAGTCAGTAAACGGAGCAGAATTGCGACTAATCCTTAGTTTGGCCCAAACTTGCTCAATTATGATTGGATAGATTTGCAGAAACCCAACGGGCTTGTCGTTCACTGCACTTGCAGTATTATTATTGTGATTGACAGTGAGAATAGCTTTTGGACGATTTTAATGCAAAGTAACAATGAAAGCAATAGGAAATATCAGCGCTTTTCAATAGAGACACATGTCAGATGGAGGTGAAATTTAAGCGAATCTGTTTCATAACGTTACTACTATGAAGTACTTCCCCATATTTAATCCAAATTGGAGTACTTAATATTGATGAAGTTAAGAAAATTCGGGAGCCTTTTCGCACAAACGTACTGTACTGGTAGCCGTAAATTTACATAGTACGTGTATACACACACACCGATACAGCTGTATATGGATAATGCATGTACTAGTTGCCCCGCCTTTGTCGGCAAGAGTTGGCCAGAGGTCACGCTATCTATCAGTATTAGGGCAACCAAAGTTGCCAGAACTCAATTCGCCAACACCATGACGACCACCACCTTCCTTTCGGCATACGCGCTCGGTCTGGCCGCCATCGCCAACTACGCACAGGCTCACGGTCGGTTGATTGCCCCGCCACATCGTGGCTACATTGGCAAGTTGGCCCAATTCGCTGGGATCGTTCCACCCGACTACGACGACCACAGTCTCAACGCCGGTGGTATTGCGGCCACGTCTGGCGGCAAATTCGGCGTATGCGGCGACTCGTACTCTGGGACCCGGCAGCATGAAACTGGAGGCACGTACGGGACATTCCCCACCAATGGTGCCAAAGCCATCGGGGCCTGCTACGCTCCGGGGTCCACCGTGGACCTCCAAGTCCAATTGATGGCCAACTACAAGGGGTACTTTGAGTTTGGCTTGTGCAAACTGGACACGAAATACGACAAAGAATCCAATGAGTGCTTTCAAACGCTGGCCCAGCCCAGCGGCGAAACGAAATGGCAAGTGCCCCCAGGCAACGAAGTGTTTACGATCCAGTCGGTGCTCCCCGCTGGAGTGACTTGCGAAGGCGACGCTCACTGTGTGCTTCGATGGCATTATGTCGAGTGGAACAACACGGATGTGGGCATCGACGGCCAAGAACAGTATTGGAACTGCGCCGACGTGTACATTAGCAACACGTGTGGTACGGCTCCTGCACCTTGCTCAGTCGACCCCACCTACGCTCCTGCACCTAGCCCTTCCAAACTGACTGATGCCTCGGTGCCGGCTCCTTCGTCTGCCGCCGTCTGCGGCACATGCACCAACTGCTACTATCCTGGCTCGAACGCGTGCTTCATTGGGTGGTCGGCCGCTGAATGCGCGCAAAATCCCGCATTCAACTGGTGCGGCGCCAATGCGGTATTGCCGAGCACCAGCACCCTCACTACTTCTCCCAGTACCAAGCCCGTCACTCAACCCCCCAGCTATAAGCCTATCCCTATCCATTGTCCCAGCGCTAAACCCACCACATCTTCAATTGCCGCGTCTATGACAACAGCTGCTACTCCTGCACCTCCGTTAACTTATGGACCTGTGCCAACCACCACCACGTCTACACCTACGGCCGCACCTATTGCTGCTCCGACTACTGCACCCAAGACGAGTGCGACCACATCTGCATCTACCACGACCACACCTGCCAATGCGGTGCGGGATCAATTGATCAGTCAACACAACAAAATCCGAGCCGCCCACGGCATTGGCCCCGTGACGTGGGACGATGCGTTGGCGTCCATAGTACAAGTTTGGGCTAGCGAGTGCCATGGGTTTGTACATGGGGAACCCATCGGTGGTGGGCAAAACTTGGCCATGCATACCCCCTGTGGCGCCAACACAGCTCTCGCTTGTGACAAGGTGTTGGGGGCGTCGTGGGTTTGGTACGACAAAGAAGAAACGTTCTGGAACTACGGCAAAAACAAGTGCAACGGGCCCTGGGTCAAGTGCGGCCACTTCTCCAACATGATGAGTCCCGAAGTCAAGTCGATTGGGTGCGGGTGGTCCTTGTGTGACAACGGCAATTACGTCTGGTGCAACTACAACAACCCCGGGATGAACCCCAAGGTGCCCCCCCTTCGTGGCATCACCAAGCCCCAATTGATGGCGAGTTTAACAGTCTAGATCTTTCGTGTTTGAGTCGTCCTATTATAGTTGAAAACAATTGCATGTACATAGTATGCCAAAGAGATTGGACATGTCTATTTTCAACAAGGGTGGAGCAACCAAGTACAGTACCGGTACTAATAGCCTTTCATTAATTTTTAATCAATCGATAAATTTCAATTTCTATGTCCTACTATTCTGTCGACCAGCTTGTTCGCGTCCAACCCGAACAGTTCCCTTGAAGGCACATGGCGTCTTTTGCTTACGGCCACGTCACGAAAGTGACATCCTCCCATGTGACCGTTCAGGTGCGCCGAAACAATGTCATGTCAACAGCCTTTCGTAATACCATTGCAATGGCTGACTGCACTCTTCCTGTCGTTGATGCTGCCGAGGTCGAAGCTGGTATTGGTCTGTCTGTGGCTGCGACGCCACGCATTCTGCGCTCTTGATGGATCGTGGATCCACGGTCAAGTGACTGCATTCGACCATCTGGACGGTTGTGTTGCACTCACAACAACAGCTGGTTATTGTACGTAGTATTCCGATTAGAGCTTCTCCACCGCATCCCCAAATATTTTTGTCCCCATCCCTAAATTAGAGCCAGTTCACTGTTTTTGGGATGTCTGCAAAAAATCTTCCGTTTTGGTTCCCAATTGACCTCAAGCCGGAAGTGCATGGTATGACATCGAGAGGCTGCCAAGTTCACTCTGGAACGGAGTTGTGAAGGGTGTTTGCCTCTCTCTAGTGGTAGTTAACTTTTCAGAGATTACGACTGGATGGCATGTCGATGGTGACCATCGCCTTGCTATTGAGTTTCCCAAGGTCGGTAATGCCGGTGCTTGCAAGCCTACTTGACCGTAGCGATTCTGTAATCCCACGCACCAAGTTATAGAGTGTAATTGTTGCCATGCTGATGTGTGCGTCCCTATCGATGCAATGCAAAGAAGATTTGATTATGAGGACCGGATTGAGTCATTGGTTGATTCATGTGATTCCTCGCTGTCAATGGCCCCTTCTAACCTTGACGA